GGACAGAGCTGCCCCTGGCCCCTGAGGGACCGTTCCCTCGGGGACAGAGCTGCCCCTGGCCCCTCAGGGATTGTCCCCTCACGGACAGAGCTGCCCCTGGCCCCTCAGGGACCGTTCCCTCGGGGACAGAGCTGCCCCTGGCCCCTGGGAGACCGTTCCCTCGGGGACAGAGCTGCCCCTGGCCCCTGGGAGACCGTTCCCTCGGGGACAGAGCTGCCCCTGGCCCCTCAGGGACCGTTCCCTCGGGGACAGTCTCCCCCTGGTCCCTCAGGGACAGGCCCCTGGGCTCAAGCTGCGCCTTCCAGGTGGTTGTGGTCCCTCCCCACCCCATCACTCTTCTCCCCATCCCCTTCTGGGGGGTGCAGGGTTGCCCACCCCTCACCCTGGATCACACACACCCACCAAGCTCTCCCCCTCCATGAGGTAAAGATGCTCCCCACTCTCTTTGTGACCCATCTCTCCGTTTCCACCCCATTCGCAGGGTCTGCCCTTTGCCCGCTGGAAGGGGGAGGGTGGGTTGTTGGATGATGGGGTGGTGCTGACTGAGGTGGGAATGCTTCGTTTGCTTTGTCTGTTTTATTTGAGGAGCTCACACTTGTATTTCCCTGTTATAACTGCCTGACTGTAGTGCTGGAGACTGAGATTTAAATTCGGGAATTTCCGAAACGTACCTAAATTAAATACAAAAAGCACTGCATTTAGCTAAAAGTGTTTTATTCTTCACTGTCCGAGTGAAATGCTGCTTCTCTATCCTATTGTATTCCCAGTGTCTATCCTCGTGTTGTAAAATCTGTGTATGTATGTTTTCTAAGAATTAATGGTATCTGTGAGCTGTTTGAATCACTTAAGCAAAAATCTGTAAGAGCTGGCAGTCGAGGATTTAGTATTTGACTGGTGGAGTGGAGAGGGGCCTTGAATTTCCACAGGGAAGGCTGGGAGCTGTGAATTATGTTTGCATCATCAGAGGCAGGACATTCACTGTCTGAACTACTCAGATAAGCAGATAAATTAAACCAAAGCTCTGGACCATTTGTGGAGCAGTGACGCTAAGTTTTGAATGGCTGCATTTCTGTATGTAGTTGCTCGGTGACCTCTACAGAGGGCAGAGATGAACTAGTTTAGAGTTAAGACTTTTAAAAGGAAATTTTTAGTCTCTGTAGACATAAAGTCAGCGTAGGTGCCATGGTGACTGGTGCTCTATAAATAACTATGATGGGGATAACACATGCCCCAGTTGAGAGGTGCTGCTGAACTGCTGCATACCTGGGGAATGTTGCAAACAGGAATCTCCTCATTTCTCAGGCATGAAGAAAACCTACAGTAACTGCAAGAGCTTTTTAACTATTGTGTCTGTTACCCGTGGGGATGAAACAGATATTCTTGGGAGGAGATGCTAATTAAATATGAACTAGAGTGTAACTCTGAATGAAGAGAGCTGATGTGTAGCCTTTGCTTGGTTAGTGGGAACAGGGTTTGGTTTATGCTGATATTAAATAATATTTTTATTTATTGCCCTGTAGTTCACTGGAGAGATAAGATGGCTGCTCTTGAGAAACACCCGGACCTGGGGCTCCAGCAGAACAATCCCTTGGGTAAGAACAGTCCTTTCTCTGAAGCCCTTCTGCTGTCGGATCCTGTTTCAGTTTCTCTGAGTAGACATGTGGCCCTGAGAAGAGTTCTTTACCAAAAGCTTTTTATTAAAAGAACAATGTCTTATTCCTGCAAAATAAAACAATTGCATGGGTATCCAAGGGTAGAGAATCATTTGATAACAAACCTGTTTCTTGAGTGATAACTGATAAATTGGGAGGAGTTCTTAACAGTTAATGCAAAAATGTATCTTCATCAGTACGGGTGTTCTTTTTAGTTTGAGAGCGTCAGCTGGGTATAATATTACCAAACTTATCAATGGGAATATAATTTACTGCTTTTGCATTCTGACTTCCATAACAAAACTGATTTTCAATCTCCTGTTGATGTTATTGGACTTCTTTGTGCTTGCTGCCATTTCCTTTTGCAAAAGAGATTTCTTTAGCAACAGTACGGGGAGTCAAGCAAGGAGTGGTTTGGGTTTTTGTAGTGTGGATAATTAGATGTGGCTTAATTAGGTGTATTAAAAGGCTTTTCAGTCTGTTGGCTAAAACATAAATATCCCTGGCTTTTCCTCCCCAGATCCCAGCACCAGTCAGAAGAGTCATTTCTCAGAGACTGACTGGAAAACACCTATGTTGTCTGCGAAGTTCCAGAGCCGTGTCAGTCGCTGCTCGAGCGTGGCTGACAGCGGGGATGGGGGCATTGGGACATCCTGCTCAGACAGCACAGAAGGTGATGGCCAGCATGAGATCACGCAGTAACAGACACAGAGTTTGTTTTCTTAGAAGACCGATGAGCATTAAATAGCCTGGTATTACAGAACCCCAGAGTGTGAAACTTGGAGAGAGCAGAATCTGTAATGATGTTTGGAGACTATTTCAAAACCAGTGCCTCAGCGCACAGATATGCTGCCTGAAACGTAAACAAGTGATTAAGGGACTTGCTGTTTCTCTCAGCTAGTCTGGTTATCTTCTACCTGTAGTAAGCACTTTTAACTCGCTAAAAGGATCACCTTGGTGATTCACTGGTTCATGTTGACCAAAAAGTGATTTATCAGCAAGCCTGTTGTGGCATTATTTTAAGAAATAATTTATGGGTGGCTCTGGAGACTTCAGATCAGTGTGCCTTTGTGTGTGAGTCTCCTCAGTGTCAGAGCTGTGTGCTTCTCACTGAAGGATGCTGCAGCCTTGCCCTCAGCTGAGGCAGGCCTGTGAAATTACTTGTCCCAGCAATTCTTTCCACCTGTATTGTTTTCATCCATGAAAGTGACATAAACCACTATTGATTCACTGATTCTTCCTTCAGCAGTGAGAAAGTTTGTGTTGTTCTTTAAAACAATGCACTTCACGCGTTCCTGTGTTTCACAAGCTGCCTTGAGCCTTTTGAATGAGCCATAGATCTTAATAATGTGCGAGTTGAAATGAAGGCTTTTTAGAAAGTCTGGCTTGTGGAAATATTACTAGAGCACATGTTTCAGTGTCCCAACTAGCCTCTCTCAGGATAATAAAACATCTAGTTGCATGTTGAGGGCAGGGGAGATAATGATAGCCCTTTAGGAAGTTGCCCTTCTGAACGTTTGTAGCCTTGTTTGTAAGAGCAGAGGCTGAATTACGGCACTGCCAGCTGGCTGAAACGCTGACTTTCAGGTCAGTACTTTGTGCAGAAATGTTGTGATGACCCTTAGCACACTCAAGGAACTGATTGCAGCATCTGGACAGGGTGTGCTGGTCAGAGAACTCGAGTTCCTGACAGTGATACTGGGGTGTAAATTCAGGGCCTGTAAAAGGAAATGGTATTGTCTCCTCTGTTTGCCAAGGTGAGTGTGCTTGTGACCACTTGGTAGCATGGTGTTCTCTGGAGTTCCTTAGCACAGCCAAGTCATGTCCAAGAGATTTTCTCCCCCTCCTGCTCATTTTTGAGGATCTCATGCTATTATTGTGATAGTTTTCCTGCAGTTTGGTGAGGGTTTTGGTCCTATTCAAATTGTAAATTTTTATTCCTTGTTGCAACAATACTTAGAAACAGGTGGAAGGGTGACCTTGCAGTCCTAGTGCTGGATTAAAGAAACATCATGTGGGGATGGGCCTTTAGCCAAACCTATGAAGAAAACAAGGTTGTGTATCTGCGAAAAACCTGGAATTACTGTGATACACAATGTATTGGGACAAGGAGTAGGAAGAGGCACTTTGCTGTTTGCCTTTCTCAGCTCTTGCTGTTGCTGTATTGAAATTTGAGAGTTGCTAAGAATAACCCCGTATTTCCATGTAGGCAGGTTTGGTGGCTGTGTGACAGGACGGGCTCACGTTGGGGTGCGTGTGCTGAACTCTGTCTCATTTCCTGTGGCAATAAGGCGAGAGCCTCTAACCTCTAGAAAAAGCTCTTTTGCTGCAACGTCCTGGAGGAGTTGGAAGGTCAACTGCTCGGTGATCTAGTCTCCAGCTGTGTCTGAAGCTCATCATGGGCTTAGCGAAGGCTCCAGTTAGCTTTGGTTACGGTTCAGAGTCGCTGAGCTGTGGGACGGGCAGAACAGAATCAAGGTCTCAGTGTTCAGCTGAGTAAGTTTCAGCCTTTTTATTCCATTTAAAGGACTTGATTTCTAAACCTGTAGAGAGATAACCTTATTGATTTAAGATTATATTAGAGTAGTTTAAAAACAAGGGATTAAAAATGTGTACTGAACTAGAAATGTGTACTGTCCCTGTGGTTTATGGTGGTGAGAAAATCTCAGCAGCCTCCTGAAACTTGCAGGGAAGGGGAGCACAGGTGTGCCTTAGTCTTGCTGCCGCTGCTTAGGAGGACATGCTGAGGGGGAAGACAATTGGGTTTTAAAATTCTTTTGGAAAGTTCAGCAGAGGAGTGGCTGTTTGTGTCAGAATATTTTCAGGGCTGTAATTAGAACATCACTCTTCTCTCCCTAGACTTTTGCAATTCCAGTAACGGTTCATTCCAGCCCATCAAAACCCAAGTGACCATCCCAACAGCCCATGTTATGCCTTCTACCTTGGGTTCCTCGCCCTCCAAGCCATGCTCTGCAGGAGACCAGGGCTGTTCGCAGAGTGCTTCAAAAACTGCTATGCCAGGATCTGCTTCTGAACACGCAGGGCTACTGAGAAATGGAAACTTTAATGCTGGGAAGTCATCTCAGATGCCATCCAAAGAACTCTCGCGTCTCTACAGGACTTCATGGGAAAATGCTTTTGCGCAATCCTGGCATCCTGTTTCTGATCACATGAGAACAGAAGATACTTGGAAGTTTGACACCCCTGCCGTTGAGCACACCCTTAACCAGTCTCTCTTTCTGGATAGTTTGTGCACTGACCCTCTCCACAGGTTTCAAAAGTTCAATCCAAACTCTGGGGCAGCTGAGGCAGGAAAGGACCATTACAAGGTGCTGCCAGAGACCAGTAAGCAAGCGGCAGGGGCTAATGGAGTCAGTGAGCCCCAGGATGGAACGTGGCCGAGTGGGAGCAGACCGATGCCAGCGGGACTCCAGGCCAACAATTTCTTTTCAAAACCTGTTCCTCCTTTGTCTCAACCATGGATGCAGGAAGCCTGCACACTGCATCCGCATGAGAGGGTCTGCGAGCTCAGTGCTTGGAAACAGCAGCTGGAGAAAGTGCAACTGCAACTGGAGCAAATGCAGGTAGGGAGCTGCTTGCATGGCTGTGTGAGTTTGAAACCCTTCCTATCTCCTTTAATCATGAATCATCATTCCAGAGTTACAAAGCAAGGGGGAAAATGTCTCATGCTTCTCCCTGTCTTACCCTGAAAGTCTCTGAATGATCTGTTTTTACAACGTGTGATGTCACAGGTATCACTTGGCATGCTGCTGATGGAGAGCAGCCCTGTATTGTGTTACAGCACTGCAGAGAGGTGAAATATCCTGTCTGCAAGAAACTGCAAAGAAAAAGCATGTCCAGAAGTTCTTACAGTTCCTAGAATACTTGTATTCTGTATCTAGAGTTAGGAAACAGACTTTTTTTCTTAAAGATGCATAAAACTAACTGCGGCTTATTAGGTGGAAACAATTTGTTTACTACCTCCCACCAGCTGTATCCAATGGAGACAAACTTTCTAGTGAGCTAGCAGAGTGATCTAAAATTATTTGTTAATCTCCAGTTGTGCTTGGGCAAAGTTACTTGTTCTTGGACATGGCAGGGGACTGAAATAGCTACGTCCTGGCATGCAGATGAGCACACAGTGTGCAAAATAGCTCCAGCAATGTTGCAGTTACCTCTGTAGAGCACAAACCTCTCCCTCCTCATTTTGTCTCCTCTTTCAGTTACAAAATGGAGGTGCCTGCCACCATCCCTTGCCGTATTCTCCTTCGCTGCCCGTGCCTGATCCAGCCCAGTGGATCAATATCCTCAACTCCAATGAAAAATTACTCAAGGAGAAAGAGCTCCTCATTGACAGGTGAGAGTTTGATACTGACATGTGGTTTAAGACTCCAGTGCATTTCCTTTTGGAAAGGGAGGGGTTTGAAAATACCAAGGAAAGCTCATATCTCAGAGACCTTTTTACCCGATTGAGCTTTTTTTGTTGAAAGAACAACACAATGATCTTTAAGAACAGCCTATTTTTGTACAGAGTTGTCCTCCCTTCCTCTTGGAAGTAGGATGGTGATCCTGAAGGGTTCAGATAAACCCATTTTAGTTATCATTTTCTGTTTTATAAGGGATAAGGATTTCTGTTTACATCATGATTATCTGGACTGTAAAACCTATTTTCTTTTTGCTTGAGGACTTTCTGGGAGCTCTTTGAGATCTTTATTTTAAATTTGTTCTTTATGAGTTTGGGCTGGCGAACAACCTTTCTCATACCTAATGCCAGTGCTCCATAAGCTTTTCAAAGAAGTATGTCCTAATGAAAACTACCTTCAGCATTTGGACTGCAAATACCTTTTCTGTTTTCTCATTTTTGAGTCCTATGATGTCTCTTCAATTTACTCAAGCTCTGCAGCCAAGCTGGATTATCCGAAGCGTGCAAGACTTGTGTGGTTTATGTATAATCATTGCTGGGGGAGAGGCTTTGAAGTGAGGGGAGGGAAGAAGTGTTAATACCAATTGTAAAAAAAAAAAAAAAAAGGCAAAACAAAACAAAAAACCTGAGTTGCAGAGTTGTCTTTCTGTTCTGCTTGTCACTGTATGGAGCATTAGAGTTGTGGTGGCACTGTTCATGTTATATTGCTCTCTACAACCATTGAGAACAAGGTGTATGTTTGAGAACAGTGTGTTATCTGTTGGGTTTTTTCTTCAGACAAAGGCAACACATATCCCAGTTGGAGCAGAAGGTCCGGGAAAGTGAACTGCAGGTTCACAGTGCACTGCTCGGCTGTCCTGCACCCTACGGAGATGTCTACATGTTGAGAATGCAGGTAATTGGGTGCAACAGAGTGCCAGTAAGAAATATATATTGAATCCAACAGCCCTACCTCTTCTCACTAGGTGTTTTCTGGGTAGGAGGGCTACACAGAGTAAAACTGTCCTTTGTATGGGGTCCCAGTTACCTGTCATCACCAAGATCTCGGTGATTCTTGGGATTTCAAGCCCTGATGTACTACGGTTTGTTTAGAAGCTGTGCTAGTGATGCAAACGCCTGACAGCACTGACAAGTGCTATTTCGGGTACTGCCACGTATGAGATGTGCTGAGTGATGTTTGGGAATTAGGAGGGCTGAGGGACAGCCCTGAGACAACACAGCTGCTTAGTGCCAGTTTGTCACTCACTGTTAGCTCTGATGGACGGAAGTCACAGGCCATCTCTGTTTGCAGGAGCTGCAGCGGGAGAACACGTTTCTTCGAGCACAGTTCACGGAGAAGACTGAAGCCCTCAGTAAGGAAAAGATTGAGTTAGAGAGAAAACTGGCTGCCGCAGAGGTGGATGCAAAGCTGATCCGGGAGTCACTGAAGGAAACTATGCAGAAACATGCGGAGGAGCTAAAGAAACAGGAAGAAAGGGTATGATCCCATTGCTCTGGAGATGGGAAGGTGTTTTTTCTTCAAGAAGCTAAAAGTCCATGTAGTGCCTAGGTGAAAATTTTCTGTGGCAATGTGTTACTGGAGGTATATTCTGATCTCCCTGTAGAATTCTTTGGTTTATAAGCAAAAGCCCTTCCTCCTGCAGTTAGAAGTATTTCAGTACCTCTTCTTTTAATCAGAGAAGCTGTTCTGTTGCTAAGTGAGCAGAAATGCTGCTGGAGTTAGTGATGTTGTATTTTGGTGTTGTGCTGTACAAAAAGGTAAGTGAGTGGGCTTACGGAGGACTGAAGGATTATATAAACTAAACCTGTATATAACTGTCCCTGCAGGTAAAGGGGAGAGACAAACACATCAATAATCTTAAAAAGAAATGCCAGAAGGAATCTGAACAAAACAGGGAGAGACAACAGAGAATTGAGACCCTGGAACGATACCTAGCTGATCTACCAACCCTTGAGGACCACCAGAAACAGAGTCAGAAGGTAAAAAACTTCCTCTGAATTGTTATGGTAGCTCTTCACAGCTCAGGTGTCTTTCCTACAGCTGCAGGTAATCCCCTGTGCAGCTGCTCAAGTCATGGTCTGGCCTTTTTGGAGGAGGAATGTTCTAAGCTCTAGCTGAGAATTGCCACATAAAGAATAATCTGCATTGCGAATGTAGTTGAAACATGGTGTGTGTGTGTGTTGAAACCCCCGGGAGGTCTCTGGACTGTTATGATGGTCTGTGTTGCAGCTGAAGGAAGCTGAACTGAAGAGTACTGCTATGCAGGAAACAGTGCTGGCACTGGAAACAGAGCTTGGAGATGTCCGGGCTGCTTTCAGGGAGCAAGAGATGCAGCTAGAAACCCAAAAACAGAAGGAGCTAGAGCTTCTTTCCACTGTGCGCAGGTAAAAATCTGGAGGATTTGAATGAACTTAATCTTAGCAGTGAAGTAATTGCTGCACAAGAATGGTGGTGATATAGCACAGCCACTGTCCCACCTGTCAAAACCAGGTTACTGTGGATTTGTGATGATTGTGTGAGCGCTCGCCCAAGTGCTGTGTTCAAATTCTGTGTGCCAAGAGTGGAGGGTGGGAGCAGAACCACATGGCTGAAGGAAAGGGCGTTCCTGTTTGTCACCGGGGTCTGTCTGTGTCCTCGGGTTATTGCTCTCAACCATAACTCCTTTCAAAATGGATCTATGTAATCCGCAATTGTTGCGTCTCTGCAAATGTGCCAGTATCATGGGTTGGGCTGTGTCCAGGGATTCCCTCCTGCACAGCCCTGGTTCTTTGCAAGCTGGGATGCAAGCAGGGCAACCCTGACACCCGATAGGAAAATTATTTACTGCTTCATATTGTTTAGTGAGGGGGAACACCCCAATGAAGCTGATTTACCCATGGTGTTCTGCTCATTTCAGCTTGCAGGACAAGGTGCAGCAGTGCGTAAAGAACGCAGAGAGAGGACCCGCTGCGCAGGGTGGGGAGAGACAGAAAATAGAGAATGAGTCTCTGAAGAAAGAATGTGACTGTCTCAGGAAGGTAACAGGCTGTCCCAAGTGGGAATCACACATTTTTCCTTCCACTGAGTCACACCAGGCACTAAAATGAAATCAAGGACTTTTGCAGTTGTAGGCAGTCACAACTGCACTGAAGCAGCAGTTCCTGGATTTCCAAGCAGAGGGGTTTAAAGGCTGTTTTTGATGTGATAACCATGCCCTCCTACAGTAAGTAACACTGGGGAGAAGCTGCAGAATGCAGAAGGAGGGAGAGGAAAACCACAAGAATGCAACTTCTCCAGCCTGTTTTTAGCTGATACTTCTAATGGTGCCTTTTATCAAGTGCCTTTCATCAGGGAATCTAAGTCCACTACTAGCAGAGGCAGTGATTAAAGCAGGAAGTGGACAGGAAAGAGAAGGAGAGGGCATGCTGCCCTACTGAGGGAGAAATCATAGTGGTATTACTGTGTCCATGTGGCCAGTTCTGATGCCTCTGCTTTTGATTCCAGATTGTGGACAAACAGCAGAAGAAGATGGAGCAGTTGTCCTTGCAAATAAAGGTGAGAGGTGACTGCAGAGGGACCTAGAACTGGAGAATCTGCTGTGAAGTGCACTATACTTGCTACTTTCCCATGGTCTGTTCCAGAACCTGGAAGAACAGGTAGCCCAGGAAGAGGGGACAAGCCAAGCTCTGAAAGAGGAGGCGCTGAGAAGAGAAAATGCACTGCAGCAGCTCCGGACTGCTGTGAAAGAGGTCAGAGTGGGAGTGTTTTGAGTGCCTGAACGTAGCAGTTGAATGAACAATGGATTGTCTTTTAGGAAGGCCCTTAATTTGCAGTCAGCAGCACAACCTCTCCTGCTTCCTGCCAGTCAGTTGCCCTGTCAGGGCTCTGAAAGGAGCTCTTCTCTGTTCAAAAGCAGGAGGAGAAAGGCAGTTTCTGCCTCCGGAACTTCAGCTGGGGCTGTGAGTTGTGGTGGAGGAGGCTGAGCTTGCCAGCTGGGGGCAGCAAGGCGGCAAGCAGGAGTCCAAACTCGACTGCAGCCCTGGCTGAAGAGCAGGGCTGAGCCCCACTCAAGCCTAAAGGAAGCCAAGCACAGTGGCAGCCCTTGAGGGAAGGGGACGGTCAGCCTCGGGGTGAGCAGCTGGTGCAAAACCCCCTGGAAGATTTTTTATTGCATTTCACGCCTTGGCAGGGATGGTGCAGTGTCATGGGGCACTTCCTGTCTGAGCCAGGAAAGCCAAATTCTCACATGCTGTAGAACTGACACTCGCCCATCTGGTGAGAGTCTGGACGGCTTGATGTAAACCTGCTGCTCCTGCACTCAGTGCTCCTGTCATCATCGAGCAGTTGCGTTGAGTTGCTTTAAGTGTGTTAGTACCCAAGTGACACTAACCTGCTGTGTCCGTTTGTCCAGCTTTCCGTGCAGAACCAGGATCTTATTGAGAAGAAGCTGACCCTTCAGGAACGGCTCCGGCAGGCAGAGCTAACAACGCAGCCGCTGCCTGCTGAGACAGCCCACCTCGCCCAGGAGTTGCACAGCGAGCTGGCCAGTTGTCTGCAGGATTTGCAGTCTGTCTACAGCATTGTCACTCAGAGGGCTCAGGGCAAGGATCCCAACCTCTCTCTGCTCCTGGGCATTCGCTGTAAGTATGCACAGTGCTGGCAGAGCAAACCCTTCGGCTCCTGTGCTGCGGCAGAATTAAATAACTCACATATAATTTAGCATGAAAGGTTCTCATCTTTCTGGGATTCTGAACCGTCTTTGTGGTTAGGTAGCTCTAAGGATGCATGCTGCAGTAACTAAACGTTAAGTAGTACCTCTTTTGCAAACATGTGTTGGTTTTTCTGGCTCGGTTGCAAATGTGTGTGCTCCTTGGTCAGAATTGCATGTGAGGTAACTCCCTTCTCTGACTCCACAGCTGTGCAGTTCTCTGCTAGGGAGAAGGATGACTTGCTGAGCCCTGATGGACTTGCAAAGAAACTGGTGGAGGTCAAACAGCTTCATAAAGAAGTGGAGGACTTAAGGACTGCAATATCTGACAGATATGCTCAGGACATGGGAGACAACTGCATCACCCAGTAAAGAACACTCTCTAAAGTAAGACAGGAAACAAAGACTTGAAACCCTCAGGAGTCTAGAGCTCCACAACCCAAAACCTCTTCAGCACTTTACCATCCCTTCGCTCGGGTACAAGATGTGTGACTTTTCCAATCTGTGAGAAACTGGGGGGTTTGTTGCCAGAAGTGTTTAGCTGCTGACTGGCTAACTGGAATCACTCAGGGCTTCGGTGTTGGGCTTTGCAGTAGCTTTGATCTTGTGGAATGTGTTTCTGCTGTGTTTGCTGGAGCTGGTGTGGTCTCTGATGCTGGGAGATGAATTCTGAATTGCCTTCCAGGCATGTCAAATGCTGAACATGCAAATGTGGCAGTTAAAATCATCACTAAAAGGAAATGTATGCCCTGGTCTCTCTGATAAATTTTCTGTGCAGATCCTGCGTGACTAGTAAAACCAGAGGATTATCAGAGTGTTCAGGGGATATCTGTGCACTTCATAGGTAAGCAGGTGTGCCAGTTACACTGCTGCTAACAACATCAAGGTGCTACAGGCTCCTCAGATGCTGTGTGCGGAGTTCTGGCTTGGGTGCTTGTGCAGCCATTCATGCAGCAGGCCCTGCTTTCCTCAGGTAAATGCAGCCAGAGTCTTTCAGTAGCCAACAGGAGCTGGGGAATAAAGCAACACTAAAAGAAGACTCTGAAAATGCCCCCCCCCCCCAGACACTGTTACCCCAGAAGCCTTAAGCCTTTTATTCCCCCGAAATAGCACTGAGCGTGGGAATGATTGAGACTGCAGAGGAAGTAGATTGATGCTGAAGTGCCTTAATGTGCTAGAGGAACCTCCTGTCCCCACACTGCTTTGTGCCTAATGCATCTGCTGGCAGGGTGAGGAACTGCTGGTTCTTGTAGCAGCCTGTAGAGCCATCGCAAGCAGTCCTGGGGAGCCTCCAATGTCTGTAACCCCTGCCAGAGCCACAGACAGCCCGTGTGCCCCGGGGGACCCTGCTGCAGGCCACTGGGGAGACACTGCTGCTTGGTTTGCTGCTTAATAGGGATGGCAGGACAGTAGAGCTGCATCTGAGAGCCCTTCCTGATACTGTGACCGCTCAGGCTTTGTCATAGCCCTGCCCTTCATTCTCTGGGAGCTCCTTGCTCCTCTGCTAAATAATGAAATTTCTGAATAAATCAGCATGGAATGCGGTTCACTTTGTCCCAGCCCTCCTTAACCTTAGTGGCAACTTTACAGTACTGAGCACTTGCTTGTGACAACGCTGTGGTGCTGGGGGTGGAACTGTTTTGGTTTTCAGCTTGAGTTAAGAGCAAGATACTGCATCAGTTATATAGCAGGGGAAAAATACTGCTGAAACTTTGTCCATTTGGTTGTTCCTGGTTCATGTTTGGGCTGTGAACTCTAGGTTTGGGAGAAATGCTTTTGTTATTCTTTTGTGTTAAAATTGAAGACCAAATCTGTTTTGTTCTTACTGTTTGGCCACCACAGGTGATGGTGGCTGCAACTATGGTTAGTTTGCTGTCCCCAGCTACCCCCTGCACAGCACAGGGAGAGCACAGCAGTGTCTGCCGTGCAGCCAGCTGTCTACCCTGCCTTTCCTCCATCTGGTGTATGGCATTTTGGGCTGTTTCTGTTCCCAGGCTGCTGATGCCATTTACTGAGCTAAATGTGGGCCAAGGCTCGCTTGTCCTGGCTGCTGGGAGCTCTGTAGGTGCAGGGGTGCAGAGCAGCACTGGCTGTGAAGGCTGCTCCCTCCTGCTGGTCAGCAGGGTACTGCTTAGCACCCTCCCCTTTCCCTGTGTTCCCTTTGGGGGGCAAGATCTAGTTCCCAGGTGCTGTGTGGGGACACGTTTGCCCTCTGCCCCTGCAGAGCTGGCTGTGAAACGAGGTCGCGGCTGAAACCATCTCAGCTGATGCTTGGAGCATGGTCCCTGGGCTGCCCAGGCTCCGTGTTCCTCTCTGTGGGGACATGTCCCCTTGTCATCCTGCAAAACTCGACCCTGCAGGTGATGCCCTCTGCCGTACGTGACTGCAGCCCTCCATGCAGGGGAGATCTTGGACCTTTCCTTACAGAGACAGGGGCAGCAGGGCCATGTTCCCACCCTGCCCCCCATTATCGCCCTGTCCCCCCCGTTCTGCGTGTCCCCCCGTCGCGTTGGGCTCAGTGTGTTTATACCGGCCGTTGTCTCGCCCCCTTGGTTTGTACCGAGTATTTTTGAGTATAAAATAAAGCTGTTCT